AAGAAACCTTTGTTTTTTACTTATGTAAGTGCTAATGCTAGTGACACAATGTTTCTTTTTTTTTTTTTTATTGGGTAATGCTATTTAATTTCTATTATAGGCTTTGGTTTTTCATCTTAAAACCTTTTTAATTTTAGCATCTGTTTGCCTATTCAGAGCACAAATAATACTATACTTTTTTCCTGCTAAATTCTAAAATGTAAAAGGAGTACTAACAATAAAAAGTACTTGTTTGTTTAATAAAACCTTGAATGTGGTGAACTAGACAGCTTCAGCTTAAAGTACGTTGAAAGAATAGAACAAAACAATAAGGTCTATCAACATCCCACCTTATTATTATAAACCAAGCATTATTATGTTTTTTTTTAAGATGTAACAATAAGAACAATGTTGTGCATATTTAAACAAAACAAAGAAACATACAGACAACTTAGCAAAATCAGAGAACAAAAAACACATCTATATAAATGTATGAGTGTAAATGAATAAACAAATATTACAAGTTATAAATATTTAAAATATTCAAGAGGATAGGAAGCATAAACTGAGGATTTCACACCCTATAATAATCTTACTGTTATTTTATTCTGTGATATAAGAAGCACGTGTAATGCTACTATAATTTTATGCTCATTTACGAGGAAGCAAGACAGCTTTAGTGTGTTATGTGTTTACAAAATGTGAACTTTTCACATACTTGTACTATTTTGATTGATTTACATTTATGGGTTAAAGTGTCCTCTTTTTTTTAACCCAAGTTTCCCGATACTTTATCACACATAATCTTTTTTTCAATCTGTTTTTAAAGCAGCCTAAAGCTCTCCCTCTTTTAATTAAATTACAAGTCCTAAAGTCATTTGTAATAGCTAAATCGTAATTATGTATGACATTTATTTATTACTTTCTTGTATATTAGCTGGGTGACCTTCTGATTCACATCATGTGTTTCTAATATAGGCACATTTGGCTCCATGGCGTCCTCACTTGTGTGACATTATGGGGAAATCAAAACAAAGTAAGAATTGTAGATTCCCATAAGCCTGATTGGTCCAATGTCCAGATGTATGGAGGTTCCTCATTAATCATGTTCAGGAAATGAAACACATCAAAATGGGGATGCCCAGATATCATAGGGAGGGAGACTGGCTGTGTGTTCCCAAGAGGAAAATGTTTGGCTAAAAAAAATATGAAAAATAAACCCAGAACAAAAGTGAAAGAGTTGTAAAAAAAAAAAAAAAAACTAAGAAAAAAAAACAATGACTTCATTTTTATGATACACTGAGATTGGTATATTTTGATTATGCATATTTGTAATGAAATTCTCTAATTGGATCAAGTCAAAAAATAAAACAGCTAACACTAAATATCCATTATCAGAATCTATTCAATGACATCAATCAATATTTTCTAGTCTTTTATGGTTTCAGCAGGGAAAGGTATTTCCTCAGACTTATGTAGAGATATGTGATATTGTTAGCTTTCCAAAATGCAACACAAAGGATCACAGCATGTGCGTTATTTCATGAGACATCCTCTCTCCTTCTCCTCCAATGAACGTCTTCTTCTGCTCCATTTTTTTTCTCCTCCTCATCTCCCTCCAAAGTGTCCTTCCACTCTTGTTAATCAAAATATATTCACACTGTCTCCTCCTTCCATACCAACTGGATCGGAGGGGCTGATTGCCAATTTCAACAGCAAAACCATAGTTCAATGAAAAAAAAAAAGAAAGATGCCGTGAGGGTGAGTGCACCCTGTTGTTACTATAGTAACATTTCAACAAGAGGGTGGGGTGGAAATGAAAGAGGGGGTATGATTAAATATGAACAGTGTATTGTGATTTGTTATCCAGCTCGTGTTGTTATTACTAGACTGTCCTGCTTGTATTTGCAGTTGAGGCACACACAGAAGGAAACAGGTTTTTTAAAAGCAACACAAAAGCTGACACAGCATCTGCTTCTCGCTGATAACACCGTTTAATGCCAATAAAAAGCACATGAGAGCATAGTCTTTGTTTGCTCCTTTTTGCAATGGCTAGCAGCAGGACTAACTGGTCCAATTACCCACCCTGCTGACTTAAGCCTCAAATAATTATAATCATCCTCATCATCACTTTGCTCTGTCCATTCTACAAATCTATTCGAACCTTAATGAAAGTAAGAGACTACCAACTAGGACTATTAATAAAAACAGCATGCAGCACTGAATGAAGCATCACTGAAAAGAATACTGTTTCAGATTTTATCATGTAAAACCTGATTTTATGGTGCCTTGAAAATGTATCAACACCCTCTGGCACACCAAAATATAGAACACCATGTTTTTGTTAAGGCTTTTAGGTGATAGACAAACACATGGTAGGCCTACTGCACGGCTGTAGAGTGGAACAAAAAATATACTATGCTTAGATTTTTTGATGTTCATTGGCACTCACATGGAAATACAAGGATGGCAAGAGCGTAGGGAACTAAAAGGTTTTAAAAAAACAACTGAGGAGCCAAGAATGGACAGCTGACAGCAGGCTCTGATATGGAGAGATTTTATCAAGGATTATTTATAATAAGGAGTTTGATTATGATTGCTATAAAACGTAAATCAATGGCCAGATGAAAAAATAGTTGTTGAGAGACCAAGATGCAATGGTAGTGAGGTAAAAAACTAAGACAAGTAACCTAATGCTTAAACATGCAAAGCAAGAACCAACTTGTTTTAAATATCACTTCTTTAGTGAGTACATCTGGGTGTAATTTCCTATCAGTATGAATAGCTCTTCTAGGAAGGTAAAGAGGTTTTTTGTAAGAACCTTTGTGAAGAAACTGATTTATGAAGACCAGGATAAGCATCAGAGAGGTTTGTGATGTAGCTGTGAACAAGTCTAGAGAAGAGAGAGGGCATATTCAATAATCCAAAGGTTTGAGTATATCACCGTTTAAGCTGTTATTAAAAAAAAAAATAAAGAGAATTGTACAACAGTAAACCTGACAAGAAGAAAATCATTCATTAGAGTAGCATTCAATAGGTACAGTACATGGTTAGTCTAGATGAACTGCAGTGAACTACAGCTCAGGTGAAGGAATGTCTTAACAAGATAACTCTAGATTGTTGACTCAATGGGTCTATCCTCTATGGAGTGTCAAGAATACCAATGCTGAAAAAGGACCATTAAGTCCCATTAATAGTTTGCAACACTGCAGGAGCCACAGCAAACATAAGAAAGAAGGTACTTCTGTTTCATGACACCAAATAAGCAACTTTCTTGGCCTAAATGCAATTCTAGGAATCTCAATCTGCAAAATGATCCTTTATTATGACTACATACAGGAACATGATCTCTGAAATGTTAAAATTCTTTAATAGAGCTTTCTTATATGTAAAAACAAACTGCAGAAACGTGGGAATTGTAAGAAATTGTTAAGCTTTATTTTGAAATCTTATTATGAAATCTAAAAGGACAAGCTGGTGACAGTACGCCCCACACTGTAACGCCAACACTGCTGTAACACTACACATCAGCCTGAATCCACCATCCCCATAGTGACACATGGTGGTAGAAACATTAGTGCTCCTTTTAAGATGATGGGAAAACCAAATGAGCAACTTGCACCTAGATTCTGAGAGAAACTCTGGTTTAGGCTGCAAAAGACTTAAGACATTGTGGAGAGTCACATTACAGCAAGATAATGTCCTTTAACATATAGGGTACAATGGAAAGGTTTGAATCAAAACATACTAATGAATTGGAACGGCCAAGTCATAGGCCTGACCAAAATCTAACGTCATCAGAAAGAACAAATTTATGTTCCAAGATTGTCCCAATCTTATTCATTTAGCCAGAGCAAAAAAGAAAACAAGAAAACAAATGGTCAAGGATTTAACTAATGGAAGTATTTCAGCAACCAAGAGTGTAGAGAGTCTTATGAATTACAGATAGTCAAAAGAATCAGTAAAAGTTAACAAAGTTTATTACATGTTTATATACAAACAACCTTGCAAGGCACACTTCCGTTTAAATAAGAATATACAATACATTTGTTTCTCAGACAAACAGGTTTTAGAACATATATTACTATATATGTGTTTAGTATTAAGATATGAGAGAAGGCCCCAAAACTACAAAAAGATGTTTAGTCAACTTAAACATAAAATAAAATAATCACACACTTTATGATGTATCTTTTTTATTTAAACTAACAAAATATAAATCATTTATGTAGTGTAAAAGCTGTCTGCTGCATGTCAATGAAAATGTGGCAAATATGCCAAGTAAGCTCAGTTTATTCACCTACTGTAATAGAAGTTTCTATCTGTTCTATTTAAAACGGTCTCTATTTTTATAACTTAGGACCTAATAAAGATATGCTTTTTTCCAATGACAGGCCATAGTTTATAGTTAAAGTAGGGGAACCGAATTCAATAAATTGATAAATAACTCTGAGAGAACAGCATGACTCTGTTTAGTACAAGCTATTGATCCTGTTACAATCAGCCGCGTCAATCTGTCACTCTTCTGAAACTGAAAACTGTTTGTCCAACATCACTCACCACGTCCATGAAGCAGAGACTGAAAGTTGAAAAGACGTTTATGACAAAAGCCTGCTGTGACTCATAAAATCCAACTAAGAAAAAAAAATGGTTGCATTCAAGCTTAAAAACATTTAAATACAGCCTGTCACATTCTTACACTTTCCCATCATAAAGTAGCCTGACCTACTTAGAAAACTTTGACAGATACAGACTAAATGATTACCAACTTCAATTATCTGTAAAAACATTTTTTTTTATCTAACAACTACATATAAAAAAAAATGTCCATCAATGTTCCAGTTTTCTCTTCATTTATCCAAAGAGCCCAGAGAGATTCTGACCAAACACAGTAAGATTTAAAGGCAGAGGAAAGGCTGGAAAGGTGAGCTTATCACAAACACCTTTCTGGCCCTCATCTCGAAGGTCTTCACAGGCTGGTGTATTTATCACTAAATATTCCTGTTTTGATGTTATGGATGGCCGGTCTTTATCATGCCAGGAGACCAAGTCGCTTGACCTTAGCAGACAGGAAAGAGTGGATGATGAACACTATGGTCTTTGGGCAGCAGCGAAGGTCCAGTTGCTGGTAGCAGAGAGAGACAAGCAATAAATCAGGATGTTTGTATATAGATTAGTCATTTCTAGGTTATTAAAAAATAGATTTAAACTACATATTTAACATTGAACTTGCAATATATGCCATCAAGCACAGAATGATCTATATACAGCACAAAAAAAATACATTGTATAGATTTTTTTAGGTACATTTAAATATATATTTATAAATATATTTCTAAAATATATATTTTGAATCATTGTCTGAATGAAACCCAGGTTACCAATGCATCCAACACCAGATTTTCCTTCAAAGCTTCCTAATAATAAAAGAAACAAGTCCACAGCCTCATAGATCCTCCACTATGCATTATAATACTAAAGAATAAATTCTATTTATTCATCAAGTGTTTTACTCCAGAAACATCTAAATGAATGTGTTTATGAACCAAAAGCTTAATTCAAGTCTCATTTGACTAAAGCACCGATTTCCTATAAAAAGCTGATGTGTTTAAGATAGCAGTACAGAAGAAGCTTTGTTCCTGGTAGGCCTCCAAAACAAAATGTTTGTATAAAGAGTAGATAGGCTCTCCTCGTTGTCATGGTAATGTCTGAAAGATTTTATGTTTTGAAACAATTTGGAGTGTGGGGCTGTTTTTTTCATTTGTTTGTCTATCCTTATTGTGGAAAACAAACTTAAATTCTTTCAAGTCCTTGTTGTATATAGTTAAAATATTTTTTTCTAAACCCAACAGTACAAACAGATAGAAACTGAAAAGGCAGAACACCCAAACCTAAGCTGAGTGGCGTTGTGCATACGGTCCACTGCAGTGAGGACTGTACAGCCTTCTATATTGAAGAAACAAAACAACAACTAAATAAACCCATGGCACAGCATAGATGGGCCAGCAACTCTTGGCAAGGTTCTACTGTACATTTGCACTTCAAGAACAAAGGACACGCTTTTAAATGTCAAACTTTGCCAATTTTGGACAGAGAGGACAGATTGTTTCAAAGAGGGATGAAGTAAGCCATCTTCCAAAGGGGGAGGGTTGAGGTTTCAACATCCAAGCATTTACATTTCAGTCATGGAACTAACTCCAAAGAAATTACATGATGACACACATGATTCAAAAGGCCCATCACATAGCTAGTGCACAACAAAAGACTTAAACAATCCAGGAGAATAAGGGGTGACTATTTGATCTGCATGTGACTTGGGAGGATGGACCTCCATGCTGCTTAAATACATCAGCACTCCAACTACAGTTTGCTGTGGTATGACCAGAGAGAATTAACAAAGACTCCTTAATAGGTGTCAAAACGTCTTCAGACAAAAAAGCTGAGCAAAAGTCAAGTTGCCTGCTAATTTAAGCCTATTTTGTGATTATGGACATACATTGGTATGCATTATTTAAGGTCAAAGAAGGTTGCAGAGAAGGTGACAGATGTAAAAAATATTCAGAACATAATATTGCAATAAATCTCAGAGCAGTTCCTTCCTGGACTAATTTCTGTCTGACATGGGGTAGCTGAAGAAGTCAGCTTTTCCATGTTTTATAATTAACAGTATATTTCCTTTTTTTATTTGAACTTTTTCAATTTTTTTTTTGCTTCACCTTAAGATATATACATGTGAACATAATTATAAATATTTATCTTTACTATTAGTGTTATTATTTTAACTTATCATCAATATTACCTTTGACTTCAGTGCTATGAACTTCATCTTGCTCTCAGGCCCACTGCAAAACTGCCACTAACACATGCAACATTCCTAATCTAAATAGGACAGTGCAAACAATTTAAGAATTTTCTATACGCACTCTTTGTAGATCACCGGCAACATTCCAACTAAATGCCCTTGCAAAATTTTTTTCCTTTTCCTTCCACGAGCAATTAAAGCATATTTGCAATCTTTAAAATTAAAGTTGTAGCACTGCTGATAACATACCAAAGCCTGTTTTTTTTTTTCTTCTGACAAATATTTTTTTTTTATTCCAGATAACTGTTAACAACCGTTTTCTGTCTGTATGTTTCCCAGAAACCATGTTGCCTCCCTGCACACAGAAGGACACCCATATTACACTCCCAGCAATCCGTTTGATATGCACAACTTTCACATGACTGTGTTAATCAATTCAGTATATTGCCCCCAATCACAGTCCCACTTTCAAGTTTGGTACATTCAATATATCCTCTTACATACAGAACATTTTTCGGTTCTAATTCTCCAATAAAACCTATAAAGTGTTGCTCACAATTTCAGCCTCAGGGCCACCAAAGTCGAGGAACATCATACGGACTCCATCATCTGAGGACATTCGTAGGCGCTCGAAAGGCTGCTGGAAGAGAATATTTTTCCTGACACCCATTTCCTCTGTGAATAGCGTGAAGCCGTCATCGATGTGCACTCCCAGCATACACTCCTTTCCATTCCAGCTGCAGGCTGCAAACACACAAAAGGTAGTTTGAAAGCTGAGGGAATGTTATTACTGGCCACTAAATCAAATCTTTCCTGCAGTTTCCAAAGATACCTTATTGTGCCGAGAGGACAAAAGGAGGATTAGATTTCTTTGTTCCCATGAAATCACAATTATTTTTGACATTCTATTTAATGTAAACATTATTTTACATATGAATCTTTAGGTGTTCTGTAGCACCTCAGATTACCAGCAGAGGGCAGTGCAATAATATCACTCTATCTGATGATGGAACATTATGTGCTGAGTGTGCTTATGTTCAACTAGTAGGCCAAAACCCCCAAACAGCCTTTGACCTCATTACTCAGGATGCTTTATATAAAAATAAAATAAATAAATTAAAAAGAATAGTGATGTAATAATGTAAGAGTTCAATTTATGAATTTCAAACTTCTAGCAGTTTAACATTTAAACTTGATAAAAGATCTTTTTCTACTAAGCAATAAAAAAAACAGATGTTTTAAATAGTTGCAATTTGGATCTTTTTACCTGCTGTAACCTCCTTGATGAGTTCTGCAGCATTGTGGCAACCCTCTACAAGCAGATGAGTCCATATGGACAGTTCTTTAGCAGAGTCCACTCTGAACACGTGAGTCTCTACGCCCTGCTTGGTGCCTGAACGCAGTCCGAACGACAGCTCAGAGTCCAAAAGAGGGGAGCTTTTTCCAGGACCAGAGTGGACCAATCTTTTGGGGAGAAAGAAGGAAACTGTGGTTGAATAGATTATAATTAGGAATTATAGGATAGACTGTGGCTAAGGGAGAAACTGCTACCTATGAGTAAAAAGAGGTGTGGAATACACAGGGGGGATAAAATGGAAAATATACATAACTCAAAAGTTCTGCTAACAGTAATGTTTTCCAACTATGAATGACGCAAAATGTTGAGCAGTTGAGTTACGGAAAGTTTGAGCAGGAGCTTTCAAGTCAGAGGAAAAACATGAGTTGATCAGGGAGGGGTATACATTTGGTAGGCTTATATAAGAAAATATGTGTCTATTTAAAAAGTAATTATTCTATGGGGTGCCTACTCGGAGGTCAAAACATTTTGCCACATGAATCAAAATCACTGAGTTAAAAGTATTAAGTTACCATAAAAATAGATTTTTAAACACAAATCACAGAAAATAATTTGTGTGTTATTACCCTCCCAGCTTAAAAGTAAATGAAAAAAAATATATTTTAATGAAACAAGCAAAGCAACCAGATTTTGATGGAAAAAGATCTGTGAAGTTACACAGAACATTTTTTCAAATGTCCAAAATAAGCCCTGGGATGTAATTTGGACACATCTGATGTAGAGTAATGTGTCTTCAAAGATCTCTAACCTGGTTGTGATGAGGCTATGACTCTTGGCGGCGTTCCTCAGGCTATCTTTGCTTTCAGGGAAGGAGGAATAAAGAAGAAGGTCCTTCTCTGTCAACACTGCAAGGACAGGTTTCTCTGGACCCTGCGACATCTGCACAAACAGACAGTTGTATTACTGTGAAATAAAATTTTAAAAAGTTACATCAGGCTTGGTTTACCATTTCTATTGTTTTCTAAGAAACCATCCCCTGATGTGTTTGGTTTTTGTTTGAGACTAGGTTGTGCTCACAGATCATGCTTTTCCAGCTCTAAAGCATCTGAAGCGCCTTTATAGGACAGAGCCCAAATATGAATCATATAGGCCACCTTAAACCATGGCTTTAATCTGTGTTCTTCTGAATAGTTATGTTTGTTGTCCTATCCCTACAATTAAGTCCAGTCATTCTGCCAATAAAATTAATTGTATCTTCTTGAGATTTCTACCTCATTTAATTAACCACCACTCCATCTTATGAAACAGTATCTCTAATTTAAAAACCTTACATTTGCCTGCCTACAATAAAGTGCATTGGTACTGTGTCCCTACTAACGTAAAAACTTTTGCAGACCATCTACAAATCTTCTATTATGTTTATCCAACAGAAATTATCCTAATATCCTTAAAATTATTCTCTCTTGACGCAGTAACTAATCTCCTGACCAATTCTTCAAAGGAATCTATATCTTCTAAAATATTAGAACAGTTGTTATAGTTTTCATTTAATCCCTCAGCTCAATATTAATCTTACTAATACAAAAGTTATCTACTGTGATATTTTAAATTTGTGTCAGAAAAATTTAAAAGCAGTCAACTGTCTGCCAGAGAATGAAAACAACACTTAATTATGCAGTGAAAGAGTTGAGGAAAACGGATTGAGCTAAATCCAGTGCAACCTTGGATGGATAAATAATGATTACAAACGGCAAAAGATGCAAGTACAAATCAGGTGGAAATCTGAACTCAAAAATGTAGTGGAGGATTTTCACGAATTTCTTTCAACGGCAAAAGCCCTCTCCACCTTAAAAAAAAAAAACTGCACATGCACAACTCTGAACCCACTCCCGAGAGTGAACGTCCATTAAACGAGCGCAAGAGCATGCATGAGCCCATTTCTTCTCTTGCATCCTCTGCTTAAAAGTTGCTGTTCTCATAGCTCCCACAAGCTTACGGTGCCCGAATGTCCATCCTAACCCCTAAATCCCTCACTATATAGAGCGGGGAATATAGTGGACTTTATAGTGAACTTACCGTTCGGACAGATACTACTTTTTGCTCCCTGTTGGTCACGTAATTCCTCACCACTGTGCCTGTACCATCTTTGTTATTAGTCACCACTGTTGGGTAGTGACAGCCTATGGTGACAGCAGGCTGCTGTGACAGCAAATCACACAATGCTTTGAGAAGAGAGCTCTCCGCATAAAGTATTCCAGGATATATCTGCCTCTTCTGAGGCCTTTTTTTTCTCGTACACTTCGTAGACACTTTTTCTCTTACGACTCTCGGCCCTTTTCAAAGGCAAGCTTCAATGACTTTCAGGAAATGTAGCTTACCACACATATGCCTTAAAGTGCGCATGCCCAGAAAAGATAGCTAACAGGACAAGCACGTAGGACGGCCTTACTTAAACATATCAGCAGAATGATTGACAATAAGTTGGACCACTTATTTTTATGATCCACCTGCAAAAAGAACATTCTCTGCTATACCTTTAAATCCTGTTAAGACTAAGATTTAAAAATCTGTGTTCACAGATACCCTCCATCCACTCTGACTGAACTAAGCTATTGAGGGAAACAATACAGCCAAACCTTCAGCCTGTAGATGTGAAAAGCTGGTAGAGACATTCCCCTGTCAGCAGTCAAATATGGTTCTACAAAGTATCAACCAAGCAAGATTGGATATGAATGCTCATCAGTCTTCAGATTTCTAGACTTAAAATACGAAAAAACCATGCACTCTTTTTATTCTAAGAATCCTGAACTACTTTGTGGTGTAATATTTGTTCTTGTAAGCAAATATGAATAGGCTGAATGGCAATTAAAACTCTTAAGTCAATGTATTAACAAACTCTTTGACCAACATTACATTTTTCATTTGTAAATGCTGTTTCCAGAACATAAGTTAACCCTTGAAGTTTTTTTTTTTTTGCAAACTCGCTCAAACCTCCATTTAGAGAAGCACAGTACACAACTGAATACAAAAGCTGGAAAGAAGGTAAGAAGGGTAAATGCCAACAAAAGATGAAAATAAAATAATTAAAAGAATAGAAAATGTGATTTATTCTCTGATTCCCCTGTACATTGATATCCTTCAATACCTGCTCTGTAAGCCAGCCCAAATGTTTGACGTCTATGCCAGGATGCATGCTCTTCATCTCCTCCTTCACTTGTGGTAAAAGGGCGGCAGCAGCACTTTGGATAGCATTGTACCACGACTGAGCCATGGCTGGGTCCTTTGCCCGCAGGAACATTGAGTTCTTTCTGTTGGATGAAATCACCTCAAAATACCTGGCAAGAAGTGTGATAAAAGGAGGGGAGGGAGGAAATAAGATGGAAAAAGTGGGCTGCTTAAAAAAACAAGAAAAACCTCAAAAAGGGCAAAGCTTGAGGCTACATAGAAAGTTTCGCATATTAAAGAGAATATCAAAGTAGGATATAAAAAAATCCCTTTTTGAATAATCTTTCAAAGCCATTTTGTAACTTGTCAGTGATTCTGTGAGATATATTAACTGAATTAAACATGAAAAGTGTAGGACGTTTAACATGGTGGTACCTGTTCTCTGTGTCTGGGGGGCACTGTTTCCGTGACACCTGACACATCTTCACTGGGATGCTGCGAGGCTCTTTTACCTCGGTGGGGGAGACCTCAGTGCCCCTCTGAGGTGTAGAAGGGGGGGAGTCCCACGGGAGGTTTGCCCCAGGGGAACCAGAGCTTTTAAAAAATGCAGACATCTCCTTGATGTACTTCACTATAAAAGAGCAGAAAAAGGGAGAATTAGATACTAAACAAGATGAAGCATGATAAGAAGAAGAGAGTCTTTTTTCAACATGGAGCCTTCAACTGTGATATGAGAAAGGTGCTGAATATGTGAGCTGTCTTAAATTGTGCCCTAACCCGTCTCTAACAACTCGAATACAGAACATTGCAGCCCCTTTAATGAAAGCAACTTGAACACGAAGAATACAATATTGCAAATTAGGTATGATTTTAATAATTATTTCAGCTTCTTACTGAAAATGGTGAATCCTTGAGTACCAGTTGGAGGATAAAGTGGATGTGTCATGGTCTTGGTTCTGTTTAAGTTTTCTTTTGGTTGGTTTAATTTTCATTTTGTGTTGTTTTTGGTTTTATTTGAGTTTGTATGTATTTCTTGTTTACCCTCTGTTGCCCTCTTGTGTCAGTCTCCTTCTCCTAGCTCCCTTCTAGATTCCTCTGTCCACACCTGTTCCTCATCTGCTAATTAGTCCTCCCATTGTTTCTGTCCCATAAATACACCTCCTGTTCAGTTACTCTTTTCTGGTTTCTTGTAGTTTCTTCGCTCTGGATGTGTGTTTTTCCTAACCTCTTTTAGCTTTTGGTTTTCTGTATTTTGTTATTAGGGGATTTTTGTCATGATAGTGAGATGAAGCCTCATGAGGCATTAAACCGTTTGGGCTAATTGCTTCAACGATCCCCACAGTTCGTGAGGCTCCATGTGAACATGTTACCACCTACTGGTGAAGAACATAACTACAGTCAGTAATAAAATCAGATTTTTGATTGTTTTGCAGTTGTTTTTCTTGTTTTTTTTTCCTTTTAAGTCCCTCTGAAATTGTTAATGATTGGTGTGTATAATAAAATGTTTTTCAAGTTTTGTTTGTGTAAAATGTCTTAGAAGAGAAAAATCCTTTAGGGTACACTGTTTTTCTGCCATTTTAGTGAAATAAGCTCAAGCAGACAGTAAAAGTGTTTGCAAATTGGACAAAGATATGCAAAATGAAGGATGTGAGTTATTTTTATCCAAACATAATAGTTTTTCCACAGTTTTTTGTTTAAATCGGGTGAGAAGTTTGTGTTGAACCAATCTTTTGGTTAAACGAACTAATCTAATTTGGCAGTGTGCTACACAATCTATATTTGTACAAGGGCAAACCATACAAATTAGTCACATTAGCCAAAATACTTGTTATTTATTATCGCAACTTTCAAAAGTCTAAGGAAGGTTCCGAAACAACAACCTCCGGAGTAGAAGTTCATGTCTTACAGATGATGCTACTGATAGCTGCTCACCAGAAAGCAATACTATTTAAGACTAATATTACTAAGATTGTTGCTCAGATTTTACATTGTTTAATCTAACAAAAATAGTTTTAACCAAATAGATTGGTTGTTTTTCCAACCAATTTATTCTTAGAATACATCCAAACTCTATCCAACTGACTGCAACTGTTCTACAAACTCCCACATCATGACTGAGTAGTGAGGCTGCTATGCCTGTCGAAGTTCTTGCGCGGGCTAAACCACTTCCTGAAGTGTTCACGTGGTATCACGGTAGAGAGGCTTCGGACATCATCAATTTTGGCCCATTCCCTAAATGAATCATGCCTCAAAACGTGCTTTGCGCTACTCGACACATGCCTCGAAGCCTCGCCTCATCACTAGATTTTTTTTTTTTTTCAGTTGCCACCCTTTTGAATTATTAAATTCAAAAGAGTGGCATTATTACATTATTATTAAATCTGCAAGGAACCAGTTCAGCATCCGTCTCTGCATTTGGAGCCTCCAAAACCTCCACTCACCTGACAGGATGTAACCAACTTTAGTTTTTCACTAACGTTAAACTATGGGTGACTGAGGCCAGCTGGGTCATTTGGGGAAGTCATGGACCAAGTAAAGGGCAGCAACAACAAGGGTCTCAAAACGTTACTGCCAATACAAGAAAACCAAACCAAAGAAAACCATGACAGTCACAGGGGGAAATAAACAAGGACCCATTTACCCTACATGGAGCTGAGAATAAATTTTTGCTTTTTTCAACTTAAATACTTTGTATAAGAAAACTGAATTTAACAACAAACAACCTGAATAAATACAAAAAGCAGTTTTTAAAAGACAATTTAAATAATTTCTAAGTCATGTCCTAAATAAAAACAACCCCCTTAAAACTTGTCCCACTATTTGCAGCTATTGCTGTTTGAAATGACTGGCAATAGTTTTTTAAATATGCCGGTGGATTGGTCATCTAGAGTTGCCACATTAGGATGACATTCTCCCACATAATTTGTCGATAGATAAAGTGAAGCAGCAAAGCCCGCAGACCAACACCATCATTCCAATATTTAAGTCGGAAAGATGTTCTTTTTTGTGAAACGCTCCTTCTGAAAAGCCCCTCCATTGCCTCATTAGCCTGCATATTTTGCCCATACTCTTGGTGATTCTCAAGATGTCGTTTTTTTTATCAAATGTGAGAAAGTTTTGATGCAAAAAGCTGCTTTATATTCGACCAGCTGTAGCTTTGACCTTGGAAGTCTCCCGTGTCGTGGATGCCACTTTTGGCCACTTCATTGTTAAATCATGTCAAATAACTGTGACTGAGGCAACAGCAATGGTTTGCAGGATTTCTGATGCTTTTGGTTCTCCTGGTGTAATAATCGTAAGGCCACTACCTTTTCAGACCAACAGATGTCAGTGACTTTTTTTCTCATGTATTCTTTAGTTTCCTTCTATGAGGCAATGATGTATTGCTTTTTATTATCAACATACTCTTAAGTGATTCCTTAATTATACAGACCTGGTAGTATTCATGTATAAGTATTATACAAATTAACAAATTAATAGACATTGCAGGGAATTACTTTTTCAAATAAAGGGACAATTGGGATTGGATAGCTTTTTTCTCTAAAACTACATTTCTGTGTATACTTGGGTTATCTTGGCCTAATATCAAAGCCCATTTTTATATATTTGATTGAATTTTTTATAAAAAATAAAAACAAGAAATTAGTAATATTTGCTTAAAGTGCATGGTGGAACGCTTCTATTCATTTGTCTTCATTCTTGCGTCTTGTTGCTTGTATTCAACAGCTGAACAATCAATTAACCTTTGAGAACAGACACAGCTCATTATTGACTTAACCTGATTTATCTTACAAGGTCCACACCACAACAGTGGGAGTTTGATGGTTCAGTCAAAGAGAAGAGAGCATGGGGAGAGGTTCAGGGACTTCTGAGTAGGAATCTATCTTAGTCTACAAATGACATGGTAAAACGTAGGACCCCTTGTAAAGGTGTTAAATAAGATTAAAGCTAACCTAAATGTGTCTTCTTCTTAGGATACTTTTTGTGACCATCCAAAATAAGTCTGTTGTGATTAAGCCTGATATACAGTACATTAAATGCAGCTAGAGGAGTCAAGTAACAAATGCGAAACACTTTGTTTCCTTACTTACTTATGATTTTTGCCAATCTATACTTTACTGGAGTAATTATTTTTTAGACAACTTTTAACTTCTTCTCCTTACATTTTTTTTTTTTTTTTTAATTATCTCTACTTTCTACTCCTTGCAAAAAGGAAAATTTTCAAAATAACTTGTTATTTAAATAACTTATCCAGACAATTTCCTTTCTTGAACTTGTTGTTTACCACAAACCAAAATAAATCGTTTTTCAAGATGATGCAGAGTTAAATTTAATACTGTTGTTGTTAGTTATAAAACAAGGTAAATTAAGTATAAGACAGTTATCATCCAGAATTGTAGAACAATTTTCCTTTAAAAGGGTAGTGCAGGGAAAACCATAAGGTTTAAAGCATCTGTCCTTAACATTTCTCCCTGCATTACTTTTATTTTTATACTTTAAGTAGTTTTTAAAATGATACTTTTACACTTTTACTTGAGTAAAAAGCTTAACTGTATATTATAACTTCTACAAAAGGAAGGATGATAGTATTTGCTCTTTTATGAAGAAGAGAACAGGGTCAAAGACAGATGAAAAGGCAGAGTGGGATGAAATGAGGCAATAAAACGTTACATGAAGGTGAACAAAAATGGTTTGTAATAAAAATAACAGATAAGAAAAACTCATCTAAAGATGAATTGTATACAAAAGCAGATTTGGTAGGGAAAGAAAAGCAGTATTGATACAGTTAGGATGAGTGGATGATGGCCAGGAGGGTGGGGTAAAGAGCAGAAGATAAAATGTGCTACACTGGTGAGCCGATAGTAAGAGGCTTGCCGTGTGATTAGAGGGGCAGCACAGGGTGGCCTTGCTCCTTCACCAAAGCCCCTTTTAGGTCAGTGCTTGATTAGACCTACAATCAGCCTTCCCTTTATGGATTATCTTTACATCCTGATGATGCAAATATATTACTGTACATCAGGGTCTATGTGAGCATTCAGACAATGCAATCTGCCAACCTGTCACACCGTCATCCCTCAAATTCATTACGGTTCTCTGAGTACCTCCTAAGCTGGATCAGAGGTATTATGCCAGTGAATCAAGTCTAACCTCCCTTCTGTCTGACCTTTCAGCTTATTCAGGAATTTCACTTCATTACGTTCATTGTTACCAATGTTGGACTCACGCTGTCTGGCCAATCTGATTATGTTTTTTGTGACATCCTTATGTCTATTTAAACTGATGACTCAATTCTGTGGAGGATCAAACAACTAAAGTAATGTTATGTTAGTTGTAGTGTCATCTGGGCCTTTAAAATCTTAGGACCATAAGCTAAAGAAATATTTTATTTTAGTAATTGGACTATAACTGCTGTTGAAAAAATAAATAAAGGTAAAACTAATCCTTGCAAGCATGCAGAGTTTTATAATTAGGTACGATAAAATTCAGTTTTATAGAAATTATATTTTTTTTTTCTGCAGTTAGTTCAATCACACACCCAAGTACATACACCTACACACCACCGCCGCACTGGAGCTCCGGCTCAGCAGGCTGTGGTATGGGTTCAGCAATTGTAGCCTCTGCTGGAGTAAA